AAATGAAAATGAAAATGGGTGAGGGCGTGAGCCCCAAGAACCTGACCGAGTTGTTAGAGCAGAGTGGAGTAGGGCGATGATGGTCTGGTCTGGTCTGGTCGGGACCGGAAATCTAAAACCGTAATCGCATCGACGTCACCATCATTGTCGTCAGTCCCACTCCTATCCAGCCTGTGTTGTGTCATCAGACTTATTCAATATCGGCTCCCATTTTTCAAAGGGCCCCGCTCTGCTTTGATTTGTTTTTAGGTTAAACTTCATAAGTGGTCCATTTCTTTTTTCGCCACTAAAACTATAACAAATTATAGAAATGTCATTACCATTTTTTAATTTGTCATTTTTATCACTACTACTCAAAATAACCGAAAAAGTGCCAAAAAAAATGTAGACATATAGAAATGTGACATACCGATAGACTTATTAAAAATTAAAAAATAAAGAAAAATAGAGATACGATATAAAGAAAAAAAATAGACAACAAAGGATATCAAAGGTCGGCAATCAACATTAAAGGTGATGCCATCACTGATCAACAAAAAAAAAAAAAATAAGAGATGTGAGGCACACCAATAAAAGGAAATTAAATTTTTTAATAAAATAATTTTTAATCTCGTTCTATTATCCACGATATTTATAGAAATGACAGGAACCAAAGAAGCTGAAGCTTGTAGGATTAAAATATTAATTAGTATTATTTTTAAATTAATCATTAATATTCAATCTATTTTTAATCTCGTTATATTAAATTAAGGTGCAAAAGGAACCAATGCATGGCCATGTTGATGACACCTCTTCTCACTTTGACTTCTGTTTTTTTTTTTATAACCTTCAATATTAAAAACACACAAATTTAAATATCCAAATACGAAGAAAAAAACATCAACACAAAGCACATAAATAGTGGTTTATTATTATTGTTTAAAATTTTAATAATTTGTAGTTTTTCATTTTATAGCTTTTAATATCTAATTTTTTTAAAAATTTTATATTTATTTTTAAAATATGGTAATGTTTTAAATTTTAAATAATTTCTTATTTTTCACTTAAAAATTAAATAAACTTAAAAGTTTTTTTTTCAAAAAAAAAACTATTAAAATTTCAAAATTTTTTAAAAAAATTCAATTAAATTCATCCGTCATGTTATGTTACTATTTCAATATTTTAAGCTTTAAATAATTTCTCAACTTTATATATGTATAGACAATACTATTGAAAACTTTAGGTTCAAAGTCTCCATCACCACACCATGTAAATAACATTCTTGAAAGGGTAAATTGTGGACAAAGAAATTACCACCATATATGTGTGTATGTCAATTTTGAGAGCTGTTTCCCAATTTCAGTGGTACATATTGGCCACAACTTTCAGTATAATCAAAGAAATTGATTAATAGTTTGAACATAATCCCACAATGAGGTGGCTTAAATCAACAAATGGTTCATCACATCACCATAAACAATGAAACTAGTACAAGTATTATGCTCTCCTTCGTAAAGATTTTCTCTTGTCGTGTCATTTTTAGCCATTTCTATGGTTCAATTAGTTCTCATTTGAAAGAAAATTCATATAAATTTTAAGTCATCAAAGCAAAACCTTACATTTTAGGGCTTTCCATCCCCATCCTATGTTAATGGAGTTGATTTGAAGTCATGCAAAGTTTGTGCAAAAACACAAGTGGTGGGAACGTTGTCGTTTGGAAAGAGGTTGTTGAGGGGTGTGTGTTACTTGGTTGGTTTGATTTGGATACTAAAACAGAAAATGAATATAGATTGATGATTAAATCGAATATAAAGATACCAACAACTAGTTGGTCCAGTGAGACAATGCGATAGATTCTTTAAGTAAGATTAGAGGTTCGAATCTTAACATTGTGAATTGAACAAATTGAATTGAGAGACTCGCTCCTCATAAATAAATCTTTACATGATCTAATATGAATTAAACAATTAATAGATAAAATATCGATAAATAAGGAAATAAAATGAATACAAATACTTTTTATTATACTCACACCACACGCACACATGGGTTAGATGGTAGGCCTAGGGCCTAGAGAAAAGACCAAATGCCAAAACGTTCATCAAGGGTTGGACTTCAATCTACATTAAATGAAGGTCTATTGGGTTAGAATGATGTTCTACATGAAGACCTAAGAGTCTGAATTTTCAGTGAGTGCCCACCCAAAAAATCATTGTGGTTACTTATGGATACATTTTGTCTACGCCAAAGTTTTTTTTTTACCATCTTTCATTGTGTGAATAACCCAAAAATATCAAACGGAAGGGAAGACAAAAAGAACATGTAATAAAGGGCCTTGTTGCTTTGTGTTACATGTTATCTTTGGGACCATACACCTAAAAAACTCGTGGTGAAGTGAAAATATCTATTAAAAGATCCCTTTTTGAAACAAGGCATGTTCCATGCAGACATATATCTCGTGAAGACCAAATGTCAAAAAAATCTCTTAATAAAAGAGATAATTAACTATTAATTAATCTAATTCGATAATATAATAAGAAAAAGAATTTACTCATACGAAAGGCATAATTTTTTTAATTAGGGTGCTTGCTACCGTATTTAATGAAAAACATTCGAACAGATGATCTCTAGAAGATGTTCGAAAGACTCGACAATTTCTGAATTGTACGATTTTCAATTCTCAAAATCTTTATTTCCATATTGTATGTAGCTTAGAGAAGACGTTATATCTTCCACGCGTCTTCTCAAAAATACTAAATAACCCAAATGACTTCCTATCGATACTATAACATTTACACTATCTCAACAAATATCTCTAACACCCCGTATAAGTCATTTTTTCAAACCATTATCTCAATTAATTTCTCTAGATACAATATTAGGTTTTTTTAGATAATTAAATTATTTTATAATAATTTTTTATAATATTTAATTTAAACTAATCAATAATTAAACAATATTGATTATAAAAAAATGGATTGCATGTAGAGATGAACACAAGATTTTATGTTAAGGGGAATTAAATTAAAAATTTATATTAAAAAATTAAAAATACGAAATTACAAAATTTCATGAATATGAAATTAGATTATTAATATATATATATATATATAATATTTAAACTATAAAAGAATTTAAAATTTATAAGGGTTACTGTTGTAACCCACACCCCTTATATGCATCCATGATTCCATGACAGAATCTCAACGGTGTGGAATGGCAAAAAGTACTGGTGGGGGAGAGGTGGCCCTAACCCTCTTTTCTAACGATGAGAATGGTGGAGACGTGTGTGGCAACAAAATAACGTTTCTGTCATGTTTTGTTTTAGCCTAGAGTGTATCGGGCATCGTGGGGATCAAATACCGAGGCCCCCTGCCTCTGATATTTACCGTTGCCGTCGCTATCGTACCCAATTGGCCATCTTTTCACTGTTCCTCTTTTAACGCTTTTTAGCAACCAACGTGGATTGAGCAGCATCGCTCGTTGGAAGGTATCTGGTATTGGACTGGCAGCCAGCCCCATGCACCTACTCGCACTGGTTTTTAGCCTCAACTTGTTCCCTAAAACGGTTGAACCGATACAATGAAGAGAAGGTTTGATTTCATTAGTATTCTTCGATGGTTTTGGGGCCCTTCAAGTGGCTTTAGCAGCCGTTAAATGTTAAAAGCTGCCAAGTCCCACTCATGCTCTCAAGTTTTATAAACTTCAAAATCAGTCCTCATTTTCTTATTAGTACAAGGTGATTAGAAAGTAATATTTAATCAGAATCTTTTAGTCAATTACATAAATCCTAGATCGAGAACAATATTATTTTTAACTATTGAAGTTATGTAATTTGAAAGTAAATTGCACCATAGAAAATAAAGCATTTCTTGTCAGCCGACCAGGAATAAACAAGCTGCATAGATAAGAAACAAGGAAGAAAGAAATACACTCATCCCATCGGCGTCGTAGAGTTCCGTGTCAATGGAGATTAGCCATACCCTGACAAATGATCGAGTGTTTATAACTTGCCGTAGGGCAACAACACCCGTGCCTTGTCGAAGCACTTGTTTTATAATTTGTCTCTTCTAACACAGTTTTAGTTTTTCACACATCACTTTGCTTTGCTTTGCTAAGTATCTGGATAAGCACCGATGCTAAACAATGTGCATTGTGTTTTGGATATTGATAAAAATTAATTAAATAAATGAGACCATGCATGTCTTACTACACAATTTACCCTAATTCTGAAGGAACAAGTAAGAAGCATTAAGGCGGTGGCTGGTGCGGTGAAACTAAGTGTTGGAAGCCACTTGTTTTTGACCTACCAAACTTTTGATCTACCCCAAGTTTCATTTTTTTAATAACGTAGGACCTCGTAAGGTCAGGCTAAAGAATCCGACCTTACAAGACAACCTCCGGAGGGTTCAAAGAACTTGTCCTCCGCTTTTTTTCAAGATTCCCAGTCAACACGGTTCGAACTTAATACATAAGATCAATTCATAATCTCAAAACCCTTACTTTGCCAACTGAGATCTTTATTTTTGCTTGCAATGCACTTTTTCTTTGAAAAAGTATTTGTTCATCGTATAATATTAAAATAAAGTTTATTGATATCAAATTATGTAAAAAAAAATGTGAAAAAAATAACTATTTTTTTAAATTGATTATTTATTTAATCTCTTAGACGAGAAAATAAAAATATTTAAGAATTGATTTATATTAAAACCAAGTTTTTATGACGTCAGAAAAGTGGAAAATATCTCAAATTTTCCATATAAACCAAACTGATGTTTTTAATGAAAAAATGGAGAGTTTGTCAAATCTTGGGAAGCTGTGCTGGGGAAATGGCAATTATTTATCACAATTTCTTCTCGTATAATCAGTATATCACTCTCCATCTGTTTCTTATAATCTGCAAGTTTTTTTGTTCTTATTTGACCTCTCTTTATTTAACCCTTCTCCTTCCTTAAACTTTGATTAAAAAAGTTATAATTTTTTTTAAAAAAATTCTTTGGGTTTGGTTTTATTCTTTTGAGAAAGCAATCTCCTTCTCCATCTCTTAACTAGCCACCTTATTCCTTTATCTTCATTCTTCTCCCTCTTTACAATTTCCTTCTGTGTTTCTCTTATGTTCTGAGAAAAGTTCAAATCTTTTTTGGGGATTTGATTTATCAATTCTTTTGAAGGAACCATAAGAGAGACATGGAAGCTGTTCTACAAACAAGAGGGCTTCTTTCACTGCCACCAAATCCAACCAGAATCAGAAGCCGTTTGAACCCATCACAGGGCTTAAAGCAGAGGCTTTTTGCCACAAAACCCTTAGGCCTCAATGGGTTATCTCTATCTTATAAAAGAGTTCCAAGCGTTGTAGCAAAACCAAATGGTTTATCCCCCAAAGGAAAGAGCTTTATTTGCAAGGCCGAGGCTGCTGCTGCTGCAGCTGACGGGCAGGATTTGTATGGTGAAATACAGCCGCCAAAGTTCTTGGGTATAGAGCTTGTGTCTCTCAAGAAGATTATCCCACTCGGGTTAATGTTCTTTTGCATCCTTTTCAATTACACAATCCTCAGGGATACAAAGGATGTGTTGGTGGTGACTGCTAAAGGAAGCAGTGCTGAGATTATACCATTCTTGAAGACATGGGTTAATTTGCCTATGGCTGTTGGGTTCATGCTGTTGTACACCAAGTTGGCTGATGTGTTGCCAAAGAAGGCTCTTTTCTACACCGTTATTGTTCCCTTCATAGCCTTTTTTGGTGCATTTGGGTTCCTGTTGTATCCCCTCAGCAATTATATCCACCCTGAGGCACTTGCTGATAAGCTCCTTGCGGTTCTTGGTCCCAGATTCCTTGGTCCTCTTGCAATTTTGAGGATTTGGAGTTTCTGTTTGTTCTATGTCATGGCTGAACTTTGGGGCAGTGTGGTCATTTCTGTTCTGTTTTGGGGATTTGCCAATCAGGTGAATATATTATCTTATTGAATTGAATTTTGGAAGTTGTTTATCTCCATGGTTGTATAAGCATGTTGGCTTTATATATTTATTTTGTGTCAGAAATTAGTAGGTTTTAATTATAATTTGTAAATCTAGTAGGCTTTAGAATTGCATCACTTAACATTCAAATCTCATTAGTTAGTATATATTCATGTAGTTGCTTGCTTCAAAACTGCTTAGCATCTTCAGTGATATGTTTGCATCAATAATCTTGCTTCTTTGGGTTAGTTTTGGTTGATTTCCATATTTAAAAACTAGTTAGCATGTTCAATGAGATGTTTGCTTCAAAAATTTTGTTCCAGTACTTTAGTGCTGATTGCATTTCATTTAGACACCCACAAATCTTCAGAAAGTTGTTTTATGAATCTCCTTACTTTTGATGAGATGGAAGTTTAAGTTCTACATTTCATGAATGCAATTATGCTGTGTAACTGTTGCATGCCGATTCGGACTAGAAAAGAGTGATATTGTTTGCATTGGCTTACTGTATTGTGATTTCATTTGGACTAAGTTGAGAACTTTGAAGTAGTCCGATGTTATCCTCTTCAAATTCACGTTCTTTCTCCATAACCGGTTCCTTGTGTAAATTATTCTATCTTTGGCTTGAAAATTTTTATCCTGACTATCTTTTTTGCTGGTTACTGGAAATCAAGCCCATGAGATACTTGAAAAAAAATAAAACTTTTAGATGAAATCTCAAGTATCTTGTGTTTCTAGATGTAACGTGAATGCCTCTCTTTCAGCACCCCTGGTGCATGCATGAAACAAAAAAGAAGGATAAACAAGAAGATAATTGAATATTAGTTTTAAAATTCTGAAATCTCAATGTCTTTTTTTGAATTTGCCCCTTGTATTTGGCCATTTATGCAGAACTCAAGCATTTGTGATTGTGGCATTTGCTTTACTGTATGTTTAGTGGCAATCTATTACTTGTATTTCTGTTCTTTCATTTTGTGAATTTTGCCTACTCTTTTCCTGTTAAATTGCATGTATCTGAAATCTTTGCCTGTTTTTGAGAATTAAAGCTGTATTTACCGAATGTTGCATATTCTTGTGCAGATAACTACTGTAGACGAAGCAAAAAGATTCTATCCTCTGTTCGGCCTAGGAGCCAATATAGCTCTCATCTTCTCTGGTCGAACTGTTAAGTACTTTTCTACTTTGAGGCAAAATTTGGGTCCCGGAGTTGATGGTTGGGCTGTTTCCTTGAAGGGAATGATGAGCATTGTGGTGCTGATGGGGCTTACCATCTGTTTCCTGTACTGGTGGGTGAATAAGTTTGTTCCTCTTCCCACACGTAGCAAGAAGAAGAAGGTAATCCATTTTTGAGCAATTTTTCTTGTTTGTCATATTTGATTCCAAATGTTCATTTCGAATAATTTGAGTTACCGAGGTATTACGAGTTTAGAATAAAAACTTTTTACCTTGCTTATGTATTATATGTATTTAAAGTGATCTTGTCAAAACACATATGAAGCCTCATTTCCTTTTATTGTCGACCGGTTTCAGGAAAAGCCTAAGATGGGAACAATGGAAAGCTTGAAATTCTTGGTGTCTTCAAGGTACATTAGGGATCTTGCCACTTTGGTGGTTGCATATGGTATCAGCATCAACCTTGTTGAAGTTACTTGGAAATCTAAGCTTAAAGCGCAGGTAAAATTCTTTGGTTATTATCCTGTTTTTTTCGCTTTCGCTCTCTTTCTATCTATATATATCGTAACGGGTTTAGCAACTAATGATTCGCCCTCCATATTGTAGTTTCCAAGCCCAAATGATTACTCCTCTTTCATGGGTGACTTCTCAACTGCCACTGGAATCGCGACATTCACTATGATGCTACTAAGTCAATTTATTTTTGACAAATACGGATGGGGAGTTGCGGCCAGCGTAACACCTACTGTCCTGCTTCTGACCGGAGTTGGTTTCTTCTCCTTGATATTATTTGGCGGTCCTCTCGCACCAACTCTTACTCAGTTTGGCATGACTCCTCTTCTTGCGGCCGTATATGTGGGTGCCATGCAAAACATTTTCAGCAAGAGTGCAAAGTACAGTTTATTTGATCCTTGCAAAGAAATGGCCTATATTCCTTTGGATGAGGACACCAAGGTTTGAAATCTTTATCGACAATTTAAACTTCTGTTTTTTCCGGGAAACTTCTGTCGTTAACTTAGAATCTATCTGGTTCCATCTTTAGGTTAAAGGGAAGGCTGCCATCGATGTTGTATGCAACCCACTGGGGAAATCGGGAGGCGCTCTGATTCAACAGTTTATGATCTTGACCTTTGGATCACTTGCAAATTCAACCCCATACCTTGGCGGAATACTTCTGGTGATTGTTCTTGCATGGCTAGGAGCTGCAAGGTCTTTGGATACGCAATTTACAGCTTTACGCAGGGAAGAGGAACTCGAGAAGGAGATGGAAAGAGCAGCTGTTAAGATCCCGGTTGTCTCTGAAACCGGAAACGTCTCTCTTGCAAGCAGTTCTTCATTAAATGCAGCCGCAGGTGACTCAACTGAAAGTTCATCGGAAACATCAACTCCAAGCAGTATCTAGAAAGAAAGAACTTTCTTCCATTTGTTGCCCAACAGGAAGAATAAGAAGCTGATAAGAAGCAGTGCTAGGTGACTGTTGGCTCTAGAATTTATTTTAATTTATACGAAGAACATTAGCTGAAAACAAAAAAGCTCGACTTCAATATAAGTCCATTTCCTTAGATGTTGAGCTTAATGTTTGTTTAGTTGCTGTATCTTGTATTCATTTGGATTCACATAAATTGAAACCCCTTTTTGGTCTAAATTCTGGGAAATGCCTTTAAAACTTACATGCTCCATTTTCGTATCTTTTAACTGTACTGTGAGTTTCCACGAGTTGTATATTTCTGTACTTGTTGAACTCGGTTCGTGTATGTGTTAAGTTCATGTATTTTCATATGTAATACGGAAGAAGATGCAGGATTTAAGTCTGAGATTGATTAATCGGGCTCGACGATTTGATACACAGTTGCAGGTTTCGATTTCTTGAGAATCAATCAAGCAAAAGCTAAGGTTCACTGTTCTTTGGCTTTATGTGATGTCTCATTCGTTCTCATCATATCATGTGCACATTTCAAGACAAGGTTCTTCGCTTTTTGTCCTCCAAGTTAACTTGCTTCAATCATTTTCCTTGGGGAAAATATGAAGACCTAATGCATTCTGATGTTCATAGGTAAAAGAAGTTGATTAAGAACTATGCCTTTCCCCACCATTCATGATTCTGCAATACTTGTGTCAGTTTCAAGATCTGATATCGAACAAATCCGAGGTTCGAATCGTAGCATTCAGATTATCTAGACAAATTGCTCTTTGTATGGTTTGGAGTGGGGATGATGGTAAGAACTAGGAAGGTTCGGTGTTCGGATTTTGTATAGACTTTGATGTCACGAAGACATAGGGTATACGTAAACGTACACCAATCCAGCTGCATCCCGAGACACCTTGTTGTAGGATAAGAGATATCAGTTTGAGGTCACTTTCACTCTAAGGTATTCATATTAATTATCTTTGTTCTCCTTATGGTGAAGCAGAGAATAAGTTCATGTGGTGCCTCACTGTCACTTGATGGAATATTTTTAGCATTTATTCAAATTTTGTCTCTACTCTTCACCTCTCTTATCCATCATCTTCGCCTCAGCCTCCCATCATGCCTAAATGAAATCAATCCTCAATCTCAAGGCCATCAAGTTTCGCTTTTTTACCTTTTGGTCCCTCGAAAAACCATTATCTAGTCCCCCAGAAACCAACTTGTCCAGTTGAAGCACAGCATAGAACTGTTTCCTCTTATTTCACTTTTCTCATACTGTTTTAAAGTTGAGGATGAGTAAGCTAGCCTTACAGGAATCATCCATCACTTTCCCGGGAAAGCCGAATCAATCGACAGCCGAGTGCTGGTTTGATGACGCATGTATCCTTGACATGGATTACTTTGTGAAGACTATCTCAGGGATCAAGTCCAAGGGGGTTCGTCCCGACTTAATAGGATCTATCATCGTGCATTATGCGTCGAAATGGTTTCCTGATCTATCCGGCAATGACGCCAAAAAGGGTACCGTGAGTCTTGAAGTGTCTTCGCCGGAGAGTGTGACGGCTTCGTGGATGAAAAAGAGGTTCTTCGTGGAAACCCTGGTGGGAATTATGCCACCCGAGAGGGATTCCATCCCATGCAACTTCCTCCTACGCCTTCTCCGGACGGCCAACATGGTCGGCGTGGAGCCTTCGTACAGAGCAGAGCTGGAGAAAAGGATTTCATGGCAGCTTGACCAAGCTTCCCTGAAAGAGCTCATGATTCCTTCGTTTAGTCACACTTGTGGCACACTGTTGGACGTGGGGCTCGTTATAAGGTTGGTTAAGAGATTCGCCGGCCTCGACGAAGGCACTAGAAGCGGCATTGCGGTGGTTAAAGTAGCTAAGCTTGTGGATTGCTACTTGGCTGAAGCTGCTTTGGATGCTAATCTGAGTTTGGATGAGTTCATTGCGCTTGGTGCTGCTCTTCCTAGCCATGCCCGAGCCATGGACGATGGCCTGTATCGTGCCATTGACACTCATCTCAAAGTAAGTTCATATTTTTTCGAAATATTTCTACTTCAACTTCGAACATCAGTTGTTACTAATTAGATCAGATTCAGTTATTAATATCATGTTTTGGACCCAGAGTTTTAATTCAACTATTTTCTCACCTCAGATTCCATAATTTCTAAAAGGAGAAGAATTAAATTAAAAAAACACATATTACAGGGACCTTCATAGTGATTTGACAAGATTAGTAATTAGAGGCCTTAGAAAAAATTTTAAGTTGTTGATGAGTAGTCGGAGTCACCAGTAAAAAAGATTCTTCATAACAACTTTAATAGGTTACAGAGTTCCCGTAATCAATTGAATAAGGGATGGCATTTCACCTTATCTTACGGGTTTCGACCCGATCCGAGTTTTTAACTAGAAATTTAAAATTTAGTTCGAATAAAATCAAATGAAGACCTTTTTATGATGTGATCGGGTTAGGTCAGATTTAAATTTAAGGGGAAAAATCAATCCAATTTTAGTTTATATACTATTATAATAATTTTTTATATGTAGAGATAATTGTAATAATATTATTTTCTATTTTATTTTGAATAAATTATATATTTAATACTTAAACTACTAGTTTTTATCCGTTTTAAACCTAAAGTTTAATTTTGTTTCATTTTAGTACCATTGTTCAAAATTTAACACTAATATTTTTAAAAAAAATGAAAGTTTAGGTACTAAAATGAAACAAAATTGATAGTTTAAGTATTAAACGCGTTGAATTTCTAACGGTGGGTATTAAAATGAAACAAAAACTAAACATTAGGTATGATTTTGAAAATATTAAAAGTTTAGGTACTAAAATAAAATTAATAGTTTAAGTATTAAATACGTAGTTTTCCCTTTTTTCAATTAGGTTCTTATTTTACCGAATATATAGTTTATGGTTCACTTACATTGATCTCGATGAGTGAAAATAGACAGATGAGAATATTACATTATTCTTTTAGCAAATATCTTTTTATTTCTTATCGTTAATTTAAAATGTTTATTTTACTATTCCAACGATCAAAAATTAATATAAAATCTCGTTTAGTTTTATATTATACAATTGAATCGTACCCCTCTAACTATAAGTTAGGTCAAGAACGAGATTTAACTTTTATAAGTTAGATAAAGTGGGAGATTTAACTTAAAATATCATGTCGAATTTTGATCAAATGTGATTCTCCTAAATCAGATGTAAACCAAAGACTTCAATTTTTAAATTAAGTTGGAATAGATAAAAAAATACAACTAAATCCAAATCGTTTACCCTCCATACATGTAATGGTAAAACATATCCATCTTGATGACACTTTCAGTCTGTTGTCACTTTTATCTTGTCTAAACTAAGAAAACAACTGTTGCAGGCACATCCAGGTGTGTCGAAGCAAGACAGGAAAGTTCTTTGCAGATTGATAGACTGTCGAAAACTCACACCGGAAGCATCCCTGCACGCCGCTCAAAACGAACGCCTGCCCGTTCGAGCCGTGATTCAAGTGCTGTTCTCGGAGCAAATCAAGCTCAACCGGCACGTCGACTGGAGCGGATCGTTCAGCGGAATGAGGAGTCCGAGCGCAGCCGGAGTCGAACCCCCGGCTCGGTGCCCGTCGAAGCGAGAGATCAACGCCCAACAGATGGAGATAAAGAAGCTGAAAGAAGAGGTGGTGAGGGTGCAGAGCCAGTGCGTGGCGATGCAGACGCAGATGGAGAAATTGATGGACAAGAAGAAAGGGTTTTTCAGGTGGAGGAAGCTGGGGATTATGCCCTCGCTCAAGAGCAGCGTCAATGTTTTCGAGCGGATTAAAGAAGACCGGGAGGCTAACTTCGGACGGAAAACGCCGACCGACGTCAAAGCGAAGCTCGTTCGAGGTAGGACTGTTTCCAAGTGGAGGAATTCCATGTCTTGAATTTTGCTTATGTGCATGGGGATTCCTGATTGATTTGCAGCCCAATTTGACACACGTATATGTTCATTTTCTACGTTTTCATGTTGGTTTATCATTCGAGTTAAGGTAGGAAATTAATGTAACAATAATAAGATTTGTATCATAATAAATGTATTTGTATGATTCCTAATTCACGTATAGCATCATGCATAATCAATTTCCATGGTTTTATCATCTAAACCTAATGTATCATGCATAATCAATTATTGAGTAATATTCATAATTTAAACTAAATAAAAACAAGTCACTAATGTCCCTAAACTTAAGCAACAAACATAAATCCAAATAATAAAATGTATGAAATAAAACAACTTAGAAACACTATAAACAATCCTAAATACATCAACTAACTCCAGGGCCGTGGCTAAGTTGTTGGAGGTCTTGTGCAAATTCTTGTAAAGGGGCTCTTAGATCTCGAATTTATTTTTCTGAAATAATAAATGACTAATTTCATTAACTTAAAAATTTAATAGATATACTCTATTTCGGGGGCTCTGTGCAAATTTGAACTTGTTTTTTTTCAAAAATAATTTTACTTGTTAAGTAAATTCGAACTTAGGATCAACAAAGTCATGGGCCCAATGATCTAACAACTGCTCTATACCTATTTTTTTGTTTCTTAATAATAACAATTGATAAATATACTCTATTTCGAGGTCCCTGTACACGCCCTGACCAACTCTCCTCCTTGTTTTGGAAGTTGCAAACGCCAAGTCATTTTCTTAATACTTCAAAAAATGGCTGTCCCTTTTTCCCATATATATGGGGTAAGGGGGAGGTAAGATAGTAGGCTAACCTAACACAAGTTGAGAGCAGTTTCCGTAAAAGACCTCCGAATTATGAAATGCCCTCCGTGGGACTCGATCCCACGACCTCAGTGCTCTACCAACTAAGCTGGATGGTCATTTCATTTTCTTAATACTTCAAAATTACTTAATGACAACGATTTGATGAAAACATTTGCAACTTGTTCTTCCTTCAATTTGTACTTTTCTAAAAAAAAAAAGCTTAATGTTAAATTGTTTAGTCTTTCCATAAAATACTAAATTGTGAGAAATTGGAATGATAATTTTGATTATCAACAAAAATATGTGTTCTCCTTCTATTCTAAGTTAAGATAATTTAATAATTTTCTCAACCACAAAATTTGATTAACATTAATTATTGCAACAATAAATTATGCTTCAGCAGTAAATTGAATCATAATTTTTCGTTTATTCAAATTTTGTAAAAAAATATTCTAAGTTAAGACACGACTTGTAATACCCAAAAAATTCGACAAGTGACTAAAAATGCAAATTTTGAAAGTTGGCGAGTAAAGTATAAAATTAAAAAATTTTAGGGGCCTAAAGTATCATTTTAAAAAAGTTATATATTTTGATCCCATAAATGGATAGTTTACCTTAAAAGAAGGATTTTTATGTCTGTCATATTTTCGATCAGAGATTTGCAGAAGACACTATTGATTAGTAAAGTTTAGTAAAATAATCGGATATCCTAATCGAATAAAAAATTTATAAAAAATTTAAAGGATGGTTGTATGAGGTTAGAAATGTTGTTTTAGTATTTTTAATATGAAGAATTTGGAGTGAATCAGTCAGATTAAAAGAATTTATCATGTTTTTAGTGAAATAGTGGAATTTAGTGACTAAATTGAATTTTTAGAAAATTAAAAGGGCAAAGAGGGAAATTGAAAGATAAGTTTTTTTTATATTTATTTAAGATTATTAAATGGGAGATAAAAATTGACATGGGGTAAATAAGATGATTCATTAATGGTAATTTTGATATTTAGGCCAAAATGAAATTTTAATTAATTTAAGAGGCCCAAATTAGATATATTTGCAAGGAAAACTCACGAAAACGAACGTCCTCCATAACTAAGGTAAACAAAGCTTTGTTTTCAATTTTTGAGTCATTTTAATTAGAATTCGGACCCAATTAAATTCTCTTTCTTTTGGTATAAGTTTTTCATGATTTAATGCATAAAGAGTGAAATGGGTTTTTATGATGGTTGAAGGACAATCGAATTTTTAATATTTTAAATTTATAAAAAATGGTATTCCCCAAAGATGTAAATCATAGTTTATTTTCTGTGCATCCCTGGTCAATAAAAATATATGCAGTGTCAATAATTTTAAGAAATTATAAATAAAAATAATCTAATATATTAAAAATAAACCAAATATTTATAAATATCCAAATTCTCAATTAAAGACAAAGGAAAATGAAGCCTTTACATTAGGGCGAAATTGAATAAAAGAAAACAAAAGGACTTTAAATTAGGTTGAAATTAATTTAAAGGAAAAAAAGACAGAGAAACAGAAATAGAAGTTGACCTGTTACGCATCACAACAACTTTCCAAGACTTTCATTTTAAGCATTCTCTTAGATCCAACTGAAGTTCCCAGAAATCTTTGCAACAAATTTAACAGGCTCTGCCATAATTTCAGGTTTGTTTTTCTTCTACTAACCTTTCGGATCCATTGGATTTGCAAAGCCACACCCATCAAGCCACAAGCTTGAATCTGATGCTCTTCCTTTAGATCAAGTACTCCTTATGCAATCACTAAAGTTTCAGTTTTTCATGGGAAAGTAGCAAACATGCAGTTTTGGTAGTTTTTCTTTTCTTCTTTGAGAATTTGGGTCTTGATTTTTAGTGGTTTTTAGGAAGTGTGTAGCTGAGAAATATTGAAAATTTGGATCCATGAGGAGTGTATGCCTGTCTGTTGTTGTTTGTATAATGTGTGAGATGTTTATATTAGGGTTAACAAATTATGTTCCAGAAGTGGAATTTGAGTATAAAAAAGAATCTTCTGTTGAAGTGGAACACAATTATGAAAGAATCGATGAGGTAAAGAAACATTGTAAATCGGTTTTATCATCTGCTTCTGAATTCAAAGCTGGAGGTAATAGGATAGCTGATATAAAAGAGGAGCTCAATTTCGGGTATGGGGATTGGCGGCAGGATGTCGGTGATGCACCCATTATTCCATTTGATGATAGAGATATACCTGAGAAGTTGTCGCAGGTTCCCTCGAACATATCTTCTTTCTGGATCACGAATGTTGATCACGAACATCGGACTAAGAAGTCTGTGAGTGTCAGTGGTATTTTGATGTTGGGGATAACCCTGGATACTTCGTTTGCAGAGAGGCCGTACCAGGGTAGTCCTCGGTTTCAGATATGGCCTGCTCATACTCAGCTTGCTATTTCGTTCGAAGGGATTTACACCGAAACCAAACGAGGTGGTGGGGAAAGAGTGTTGTGTTTGTTGGGGAGCGCGATGTTGCCGTCTCGGGAGTCTGACACGAACAATACATGGGAATGGCTGAAGGACTCTGATCAAAACGAAAACCAGGTGCCCCTTTTGCAAGATGATCAGATATTGCTTGTGCTTCATTACCCATTGACACATACTTTGACAAATAGGGTGATACGAGGGGAGTTGAAGAGTCTAAATCCGAAATCAAATGCTAAGTACTTTGATCAAGTTCACATTTTGGCCCAGATGCTCAAGTCGACGAAATATGAATTTGGCTCTAAAGAGATTGTATCCAAGGCATGTGATCCTTATCCGTATTGGGATAATGTGATGAATTCCGGCATCGATGTCTACAAAGGAGATAGCTTCTGTACAATTCTAGAGCAAGTTACTAATAGTGGAGCTTTCACTGTTGTGCCAAACTGGAAATGCAATGGCACTGACGACTACTGTAGTAAACTGGGTCCTTTTGTGTCCGATAAAGAGATTAAGGCTACAAATGGAAGCTTCAAGGATGTCATACTTTACATGCAGGATGTCAGATGCAAGCCGACTAATGGGCATCGAAATGCTAGTGTTGCCAGAGTTGCTGCAGTTTTTCGGGCTGCTCCTGCATCGGAGGATCAGTATAGAGTGCAATGGAGGAGGTCTGGACTTAGCAACATGACTCTAGCTGCTGAAGGAATCTGGAATTCTTCTAGTGGGCAGCTTTGCATGGTTGGTTGCCTTGGCATAGTAGATGCAGAAGGGAGTAGCTGTAACTCGCGTATATGTTTGTATATCCCTCTGTCTTTCTCCTTAAAGCAGCGAAGCATAATCTTTGGGAGTATTTCAAGTATTGATAGAAGTAATAAGAAGTACTTCCCTTTATCTTTTGAAAGGTTAGCGAGTCCGACAGAGTTGTGGAATTATTTCAGATCATCACATCCTTTTTATAGTTACTCAAAAATCCGATCGGCTGGTGCAATCCTAGAGAAAAATGAGCCCTTCAGTTTCGGAACTCTAGTCAAGAAATCGTTGCTGCAATTTCCGAAACTTGAAGATACCGAGGATTTTTTATCCAGCCTTTCTTTTCTTGCAGAAGATCTGACCCTTCAAATCTCTGCTGTTCCTGATCCGTTTTCAAATTCTCATCCTCCAAGAGTTGATATTCAGTTGGATATTTTCTCAGTTGGTCCTTTGTTTGGGCACTATTGGTATTCAAGAAATGCGACCACCGCAGAGGAAGAGGCACCTTACCACGCTAAAGCTGAATACACCGAGAAACAGCTCCTTTTGAATGTATCAGCTCAACTAACAATCATGGGGAAAGATTATAGCAATTTTTCTGTTCTTTTTCTGGAGGGTCTTTATGATCCACATTTTGGACGGATGTACCTTGTTGGCTGCAGGGATGTTCGAGCTTCATGGACAATCTTATCTCAGACCATGGATCTAGAATCAGGGTTGGATTGCTTGATCGAAGTCATAGTGTCTTACCCACCAACGACAGCTCGGTGGTTGGTCAATCCAACTGCAAGAATTTCCATATCCAGTCAGAGAACTGAAGATGATCCATTATATTTTGGGATGATTAAGCTTCAAACTCTTCCGATTATGTACAGGAAGCAAAGGGAAGATATTCTCTCTCGCCGGGGTGTTGAGGGAATCCTCCGTGTTTTGACCCTTTCATTTGCTATTGCTTGCATTTCTAGTCAGCTGTTTTACCTCAAGAAGGATGTTGATTCCTCTCCTTTTATTTCCCTTGTCATGCTTGGTGTCCAAGCCCTTGGGTACAGTCTTCCTCTTATTACTGGCGCCGAAGCTCTCTTCAAGAGAGAGGCTTCCAATTCTTACGAAATGCAATCTTACGATCTCGAGAAGAGTCAGTGGCTGAGTTTGATTGATTACACGGTGAAGCTTCTTGTGCTGGTGATGTTCCTTTTGACACTGAGGCTCTGTCAGAAGGTGTGGAAATCTCGTATCAGATTACTTTCACGTGCCCCGCTTGAATCACATCGTGTCCCGAGTGAGAAGCGGGTACTTATGTCAACCGTTACCATACATGTCATCGGATACATAATTGTGCTGATCATTCATACTGTTAACACCAAACAGATACCACCTCAAACAGATAAGTTTATAGATTCAAGGGGTAACTCCCAAACGCTACGGCAATGGGAAATCGAACTAGAGGAGTATATTGGCCTTGTTCAAGATTTCTTCTTGCTCCCTCAAGTCATTGGTAACTTCATGTGGCAAATCGATTGTAAACCTCTCCGGAAACTATATTTTATCGGGATTACAGTCGTCAGACTTCTCCCTCATCTCTACAACTACATGAGAGCTCCAGTTCCAAATCCATACTTTGCAGAGGAGTACGAGTTTGTGAATCCGACGATGGACTTCTTCTCGAATTTTGGGGATGTTGCCATTCCCGTCACCGCAGTTTTGCTTGCAGCCGTTATCTATTGTCAGCAAAGGTGGAAATATGATCAACTTAGCCAGTTTCTCACCTTCAGGCAACGAAGGCTTCTTCCTGCGGGATCAAGAGCTTACGAGAGGTTGTCTTCGAAGCCATTAGAAGCCGAGCTCGCCTCTGATGTTAATCGGAGTACCTCGAATAAGCTAGAGGACGATGATGAAGAATAGTTCAATTCCTTGTCAACATTACTGACAGATGTGTTTGCTAAGCATGTGTGAATGTAGGTAATAATTTCATGTTTGTTTTCAAAGTACAACATGTCGGCATCTAAAATTACGACTAAAAGCTTGGTTCCACCATGCATATTCTGATCATTAAACAAGAACGATTCTCCGAACATCGTGTCGCTTTTATCTTAGTTTAATATCTGCATTCTTGCAACATTATTTTTTTTACGATGAAGATTACTGGTGCAATCATGAAGTTGCATTACCAAGAGAATCAGAAAATTACATCTTTTACATAACACCTGCAAGTCTTTTTCATGTTACTGATGAAAGGACAGTATTTCTGCAAATGGTATCTTAACAACACTGGAAATGTTATTGAATATGCAACCTACCATGTTACCGTTCTCTCATGTACAATGACTAAAAAAAAACGAGATTAATTAACTGCCATGAGAATCATGAATAAAATGGAATTCTTCTCTTGACATCTAAGACTTGCAAGTAAATTATCCACAAATAATGTTGTTTCAAGTGGCAAGAAGAGCAATAAGCACGGTGCATGTGCACTCATGTGGCCTATATTCCAAGACAAGGTTGATGTTGGACTTGGACACATGCATTCATTAGTTGTAATGTTAGGTGAAGGGTGAGATGATGGATCTTTCAAAGTTTTAATTAAAGGGGTTGGCAGTAATATGCATTTGTCAAACTCCTACGACATTTGATTTTCTTACGGAAAGCAATGCATGTAGCTGCATCAATTATGAGCACGGCTGTAGGTCAACTTAGTCACCGTCTCTTGTTTTTTCCTTTTCCTTTTAAACATAACAGGCTAAATGCTACAATACAACTTAATGGTCTAACCTTTTAAAACGGTTAAAATATGATTTAATATTTTTAAATAAAAATTTAATCTACCAAAACGACGGAATTAAATTTTAACAATTTCAAATATGTTTTCTTTAAAAAAAACATTTTCAAATATATTCAAATAAAAACTTAAGGTTGTCATCAACAACTTTTTAAAATTATTTAACGAAAATATGTTTTCTTTGGTGATATGGTTTAGGGTATAATAAGTGTTTTCCTTTTTAAACTATTGCTAACTAGGGGTATTTATCGAGCGAGTCGATTACGAGTTGGGTAATGCTTGATTCATACTCATTAAAAAATTTTGCTGCTCGACTCGACGCTCGTTAAAATTTTGCTCAACTCGTGCTCGTTAAGAAATTTTTTTTCTCGACTCGTTACTTGTTAAGCTCGTTAAAATTTTGCTCAATCCGTTCTCGTTAAGAAATTTGTTGCTCGCCTCGTTGCTCGTTAAACTCACTAAATTTTTATTTTATTTTTTTAACTATAAATAAAATATACTAATACTATATAAAACTTAATATAAACATAAATTAATAAATTTAACAAAAAAATTATTAAAAAATGTATGAAACAAACTCAAAAGTCTAAACACCAAAATAACATTCTATAACTACATTAAAATAACTTTTGACTGGATTCAGAGCACATTTCGTCAAAATAGAGGTCGGAAATCTAAGACCAAACGGTCACCATCTGCAACCGTCGACGGTAGTGTCCAATGTCGATGAATAGTAGACAATCGTCATCTGTTTTTAGTTTATATTTTAAATTGTTTTCATATTAAATAAAAAAAATAACACGTCGTACCAAAATAATAAAAAAATAATTCAGAATGATCATGAACAATTCAAAAGTTCAATGATTAAATTGAAAAAAATTGAAAATACATTGAGTGAAATAGGAGAGAAAATAAAGTTAAGTGATGAATGATGTAGTTTACCCATATATATATATATATATATACACCTAATGGTGGTTAGATGTTTCTAATAAAGACATTATATTCCCATAAATAATCAATCCTATAGTATATTCCAATATTATGATCATATTCCTAACTTAAAATATAGTAACCGAAACATTAATGTATAGTTAATCAGAAAGCAGAATAAAAATGCAGTCATCAAAATATGCCCAAGGTTTATAACTATACGCAGAATTTTAAAGCTAAATGTGCTAAGAAAAATAGTACCTTTCGAACTCAAAAAATCGAAAAGAAATTCAGAATTATAATACCTAGACATTGAAACTAAAAAAAAAAAAAGAATACATCTATGACTAAAAGAATCCAAAAATCCTTGAATTATGGAATCGAAAATTTGAAACTAAACAGTAAAAGGAAGGGGAAAATGGCTGCAATTACATTTCTTTTCCTTCTGTTCTTCAGGGGGACTTACTAAAGAGCTTTTTTCGATTCGTACGAGGAAAAATGGTTGTAATGTGTAAACTGTGTGCCATTAACAAGGGTTTCTGATTCTTTACAGGTAACATATCAATCATAATTTCCTGTCCTAAAATGTTTAATTTTACCGAGTTTGATATTTCGTCGAGCAGTTGGTTGATACCACTGAACAACACGGATTTGAATCGATGAAGAAGATGAAAGTATACAACTACTATTTAACAGATCTATTAGTTTTATTAATAACATAACAAATACTTAAGTTAGCTTGGTGGTTGAGTGTTAAGCATGGTTCATGAAAGTTGTTGGTTTGAATCTCATGGAGAGCAATTTTTTCATCAAAAGACTTGTGAACGATGTCATTTTGTGTTTTTTTAGCATCAAAACAGTTGCACAAAAACGACTGCGTCGAGGGAGTCACATCATCACCGTCACGGCATAGAGATGCAATGTCATCCCGTTAATGGATAAACGGTAGAGTGGCATAATTGCAGTTAAACATAAACGTCAGTGTTAAAATTGACAAAATTGAAACGTCAGTGACATATACAAGTTTGAGCTTAAAGATGAGTGGTATTTGAAGTAGTTTGCACTAGTTTTTATTTTACTTTTAGTACTCCGCCGTTAAAAGCTTTAGTTTTTGTTTCATTTTAGTACTCTCATTCAAAATTTAACGTTAAGCTTTAAAAAAGAATTGAAAGTTTATGTATTAAAACGGACAAAAATGGTAGTTTAGGTACTAAACGCATTAAATTTTAACGGCGGGATACTAAAATGAAATGAAAACTAAACGTCAAGTATGATTTTGAAAAAATTGAAAGTTTATGTACTAAAACGGACGAAAACTGATAGTTTAGATACTATATGAGTAATTTACCCATAAAAATAAGCGATGAAATTTTTTATAGTGACTCAATATTTTTTTTATTAATATGGGGTAAGTACAAGGTAATATTTGTTCAAATATAACTTTCAACCTTTCAACTGAAATATATAATCATTCTCTATCTTTAAATATTCAAATATTTTAATATTTATATTTGAATATCGATAAATTAAATAATATAACACAACATATAAATGAGTGTAGTTTGTATTAAAGTTCATGACAATTCTTATTATTGAGTTCTCAAGTACTTCAAAAGATAACAATTGACAGAGTTCATGACATGGTCTATTAAAGTTTAGGACATGTCTTTGACAACTCAAAAGATCCATATCTTTTGACAGATCCATATCAACACGATCGTCATAGACAATTCTTATTATTGAGTTCTCAAGTATTTCAAAAGATAACAATTAACAGAGTTCATGACATGGTCTATTAAAGTTTAGGACATGTCTTTAACAACTCAAAATTAGTATGTTTGGCCATAAGCTTATCAAAACATCACATTGTTTAGATATGAAGGTTTTTCAAATGTTTAAATATAACATTTGAAAGATACATTCATTAAGTGATCGAAGATAAGATTAATATGTACATCATTGTCATCGTTGTTGTCGTCTACAATAATCCATGCTTGTACTCATGTACATACGTGATTTTAACACATTTTATGTTTCTTTTAATCTAGATAGAAAGTGTAACTTTTTCGTATTTTTATCTCAATTTTTTTTATTTCTTTCATTTTAGTTCAAATTTTAAAAGTTTTGATCAACTTTTATCACGTTAGTAAAAGACACTTTTTACTAAAATCGATATGTAAAAAAAACAAATTTTACTAAAAATGATATGTAAAAAAATACTTTTTATACGTCGTGCCTTCATCTTATATGACACAAAAGAGTTTCAATTCGAAATAAATATAATCTTAACCTTATGAGATTTAATTTTTTTATAGGCGATATTTGAGTAGAAAGGCCGTTTTGAGGTTTGTCGATTGGTGTTGGGGGAGATTCGAAATAAATATAATCTTAACCTTATGAAATTTAATTTTTTTTATAGGTGATGTTTGAGTAGAAAGGCCGTTTTGAGGTTTGTTGAGTGGCGTTGGGGGAGTTGCCACTAGAATGTGACAAGAAATGAAAGGATAGTGAGAGTTTTGTATCGTTGAAGAGAAAGGACAAAAACAGGAAGGACCATCTTGTCCTCTGCAATGCCAACGTAAAATGGAAAGAAATGAAGGGCATCTTACGTTATTTAAAAAACTAAAGGAAAAAAAAAGAGAGAATAGGGGCATCCTTCCCTCTCCATGTGACCGTGTCTTGTTCAGTAGGAAAACATCCATATCTACAACCGCCTTCCCCACCCCCTCTTGCCCAATTGCTCTCCTTCTACTTTGCAAAGTAATATTTTAATCAATGTGAACTATATAGGTATAATGTCAAAAGTAGACCTTAATATTTATCAAAATGGTTCTTTTAGCCCATATTCTTTTTTTAAAAACATTTTTGTCCTTAATGTTTCATTTTAAGGTAAAAAATCCCTTTATGTTTAATTGAATAGTCACTTTAGTCAGTATTATTTTTTCTTGGAGCATTTTGACTCATAATATTCTATTTTAGAGTAAAAGGCCATCCATTAATTGTATGTTAAGTGACAGTTTCTATCCATAGAAGATCATTTTTGCCTCAATGAAATTTTGAGATCAAATTATTATAAAAGATAGATATTAAAGTGATTATTTATTCACATATTATGGTATTTTTTGACATTATACCAATTATATATAGTCTTGTATTATTTTTAGTACCTTATTTTTTTTACAAGTTTATGGGATTTTTTAACCATATTTTACTTTTTTTACATCTTTCTATTTTCTAAAATTGTTTAACGAGATAATGACTACCCTAAAAAAACATGGCAAGAATATATTTTTAATAGTAAAAAGAAACGTAAAAAAAAGAATATCCTTTTTTTAAAAATTTTTGGAGTTAATTAATTACGTTTAGAAAGTGTATCACTTAT